GCTAATTACTCTGCCTTAATGAGACCATTCCACGGGCACAAATATTCCGCAGAGGCCAAAGGAGGGAGAGGGCACTTGGCTTCCTTCTGGGTGAGAGGAGAGAGACACAGGCTCGACAGGAACCTGGGGACCATCACTGGGGTGATTTGGAGGGGGTGAGGGGATGAGAAAGCAGAAATGGGGCCAGCGTGGGCAGAGAGGATCCCGCAGGGCTCAGCCACGCGAGGTGAGCACAGCATGAGGCAGTGCGGGACAGACAGACAGACAGATGTGTGCAGGGATAGATACGCTCCTCTCCGTGTGAAATCCAACCCATCCCTAGGCACAAGAGGATCCCAAAGACTCAGGACATTAATGTCACCCTTTTGTCTCCAGCAGTGTGGGAAGGCACCTCAGGGGTGGCTCAAGCAAGATGAAGGGGAGTAGTGGGGGAGCCAAAAAGACTCTTCCTCACTCTGCCACTGCAGCTTAAGGGTCTTGGTCCCCTTGTGGGCTTTATTCCTGTCCCCTTCATGGGGAAACACCACATAATGGAAGTCAGAGGTGCTGGGCAGAGCCATAGCAGGGTCCTGAGTGTCTCGGTGGCAGATCTGCCTCCAGGATAAACAGGGACCATCAGGCCCTTTGTTAACAGGCTGATTAAAATCACCATGGTGGTGTTGTCCCCTCTGACACAATGAGCTGGTGTAAGGACCCAGACAGATACAATCCCCAGCCCCTGCTCTCCCCCAGTCCCTGCTCCCTACCAGCTCCTGCTCCCCACTGGCCCCTGCACTCCCCTGGTTCCTGCTCTCCTGCATCGCTGCGACAAGAACAGCCATAAACAGTTAAAAAAAAAAAAACCAACAGAAAGGAACCAGGAGATGAAGTTACCAATCATCCCGCTCTCCTGCCAAGTGAGTTCACGTCGGAGCCTCTTTCTTGGCCAGGATGAGGCAGCAAGGAAGAAAAATAGCTTTCCATGCAAAGTGGGGGAAGAAATGTACTTGGATTCTTTAGCAGAGCAACATCGCCCTGAAATCAATCTGTCCCAGCGCCCACAGCTCCTCTGCCCGCTGGCACGGGGACAGGCCATTCCAAGTGACAGGGCTGAAATGGAGTCAATGAAAACACCCTCCGAGACGTGCGTGTTTGGATTGATGCTGCCCAGGAAGGTATTTTAATAGTGGCCAGATTGCTGGCGTTTAGGGTTTATAATGCACTCGGGATCAAATGTCCTGATATTTCAAACCCCTTCCCGGGGGCTTGTTTTATAAAGGAAAACAACAAACCTTAAGCCGAGAAATAATAAATCACGGCACCTCTGCAGCCCTTTCCCAGCAGCCCCACATGCATCCCGCCGAGCCGCCAAATTCCTGCCCGCGCCGCCTGGGAGCTGGCCGAGATCCCCACGGAGCAGCGCGGGACATCGGGAGACCTGCAGCCTGCGCCCCACGACGCAGAGAACCAGAGCTCCAGGCACCTGGGCTGCTGGGGCCAGGATGGAGCAGTGCCAGGGCTGGGAAGGAGCAATTCCAGGATTGGGAAGGAGCAGTGCTAGGCTGGGAAGGAGCAGTGCTGGGCCAGGATGGAGTTGTGCCAGGGTTGGGAAGGAGCAGTGCCGGCACCGGCGACCTGCCAGCACAATAAATACATTCCCTGGCATCACCAAGCCCCTGGTTCTGACCATGCAAAAAGCCACGGGAAAGGGGAAAAAGAAAGAGAAACAGCAGGAGAAGGGGAAGGGGAGCCACCCCAAAAGCCATGGAGAAGCCCAGCGTTTCGGCTCTTGACACGTGCTCTCTAGTATTTTTCCACAGTCCAAGCAAAGGATTCCTGCCTTTCCCTGGAAGCTGAGCGTCACCTGATCACACTGTGCTGGAGCCGCAACTCTAACGCCACTGTCAACACTGACACGGAGACCAAGAGGTGACCAGCACAGGGTCAGGCTGCTGCCAGCTCATAAGGAGGGTCCTGGCCTCCAGGCACGCTCCAGGGAGGCATTCCCACCTCCTGGTGTCACCTGTGGGGAATGAGGACACGAATCCAATGGAAGGTGGCACAAATCCCACCACAGCCTGAGCACTGCCTCCCTCACTGTCCCAGCCCTGGGATCCACAGTTGAGCTCAGGGTTGCCCAAGGATGTGATCCCTGACAAACGGCCCCGGGAACAAGGGGACACAGGCAGGGGGTCGAGCTGAGGGAGCAGAGGCTCAGGATGCAGCAGCACAGAAGCCTGGAAGCATATTTTAATTATTACTATTTTTTAGTGCGCTGTTTGGCTTTGAAATTCCTTGGAAGCCCAAATCCAAACAAACAAGGACATTGTCTGGGGAAACACGTGAAGGCTGGAATCTGGTTGAGAAAACCCACGGGATCACAAAGTCCCTGGAGGTCAGGGATCAGCCGCCAAGCACAGAGGGTCTGTGGCAGCCCCCAACCTGACCTGCTCCAGAGCAAAACCTGTCCTGGTCCCCAGCTGTCCCCTGCCCTGCTCCAGAGGGACTCTGGGTGGAGGGGGCTCTGGAGAGGAACCCCCCTGTGCCATCCTGATGCCTGAGCGGTCGGAGCAGCTGCTGGTGCCAGCAGAGCGCAGCCTCCACACCAGCACGTGCCTCCGTCCTTGAGCATCAACGGACGCGCGACGCCTGCCAGGATCCTCCCGGACAGGAACGGTGCCAGACTGTCACACAGAGCGGAGAAGAAGGAGAGCGGGATGGGAGGAAGGATGAGACAAGTTCCCCTTGTTACACTTCAGCGCTGGCAGGAAGGACGAACCCTCCCATGCCATCACTCGTGTCTCATCCTCCACATGGGGCCGAGCACAGAGGGACACTGAGCTCCCGGGGCTGGTGGGACAGGGCCACCTCCGAGGTCACTGTGTGGATGGGGACAGACTGGACCCCTGCCTGGTGAGGGGGCACATTGTCCCACCTGCCCTGGCCACTGGCACCAAGCCCCACACGTCCACTGGAGGAGCCCAGAGCCCTCAGCCACTGCAGCCTGCTCCAAGTGACGGCAGAGAGAAGTAATCCAGTTCCGGCACTTTTTGTACGAGAAATGGATGGAAGACTTCGCCAGCCTCTGATTTTTAGTGTGTCCCTGGAAAAAGACCTGGGGGTAGGGAACCAGCCAGCTCAGATCAACTGAGAAAATCACTGCCTGTGACAAATGTCCACAGGCAGCGATGCGGGAACCGAGAGAGCGGCACCACGGAAAAGTACCACAGCGCTCCAGCTGCAGAGAGCCAAGAGGTTTGGGAGTGTAAGGACCAGGGCAACAGCAAGGCTCCAGGGTACAGCGGGTCATGCCAAGGCCTGTTAACAGCCTTCATTTAACACATTTCCTACAGCAAAAGTGACACTAATCTCTGCAGGAAGGGAGTGGGACAGGGAGGCAGCAAAGCAATCGGAGCTGGGCTGTGCCACCACACATCCCAGGCCGCCCCTGGCAGGGGGAGCTGCTGGTTTCCAGCCCCTCAGCATCACTCTCCCCCCATCAGATGTCAGCTCAAGCCCCATTAGCAGAGGCACCAGGGAGGCTCCGTTCCTGCTGGGAGCAGATAATGCCATAAAGAAGCAAATAAAGAGGGAAACCACTAATTGGATTCATGGGTCTCTCCAGTGTCCTGCCTGAGAGTGACATTATCTCCTCATAGCGACCCCCAGCACAGGACTCAGCGCCGGGGGAACTGATTTCTCCACCTCCTTTGTGCTGACGAACCAGCTTCAGCCTTCAGAGAGAAGTCAGAGGGGCACCAAAAGCAGAGACCCCTAAACCCTGTGTGGGGAGCCAAGCCCTGTCCTGCCCAATTGCACACTATCGCCTGTGGGAGCAAAGGGTGAAGCCTCTCCCTAAAAATACACACTGCCCTAAAAATACACAGGGTGAGCTTAAATTAACCATGTACACACACCCTCGGCAGTGCCAGCGG